ACAGCCCAGATATGCATCCGAAGAAGTGGGCTGTAGTCCACGAAAGCTTATGCTCTAATAAATTTGTTAGTCTCTAACGTGCCACAAGTACTCCTGTTCTTCTTTTATCTTCAATAGGACAGACTGAGGGAGCCCCACATCAGAATATCACAGAGACCAGTGACTAAAGCACTCTCCTGAGATGTGGGAGAGCCCAGTTCCAATTCTTTCTCCCCTGTGCCAGGCAGCGGGGAATTGGCTAGGACTCCCACATCTTAGGTGAGTACTTTAACTACTGGGCCAAGAGTTATAAGGTGGATACTCAGGATTGGTCCTCTTGGGCAAGTTAGTCCGCCACATAGCTGTGTTCCCCTAGTTTGTGAATCACTCTTGGGTTTAGGTGGGAACTGTTTACTTTGAAAAACATAGGCAGTGAGGGAGTTTAGGTACCTACTACGTTCAGCAGGAATCTTGTGGATTGTGAATGTGGTTGCAAGCACCTCACCATACATCTACACTGCAAAAATTCCCCACACCAGCAAGTCTCAGAGCCTAGGTCAACTGCCTTGGGCTTGAGCTACAGGGCTAGAAATAGCAATGTAGATGTTCCCACTTGGGCTGGAACCTGGGCTCTGAGACCCACCCACCCATGGAAAAAAGTTGGTGGGTGCTCAGCACCCACCAGCAGCTCCCCGTGGTCCCACCCCCCTGCTCCAGATCGCCTCCACCTCCTCCACGATCGCGCTGCTGCATCCTGCTTCTCCCCCCTTCCTCCCAGCGCTTGCGCCACGAAACAGATGATTCATGGGGCAGTGAGGGAGGGGAGGAGGGGGAACGTGGCATGCTGGGGAAGAGGCAGGGCTGGGGCGGGGATTTGTGGAAGGGATCCAATAGGGGCAGAGAGGGGGCGGAGCTAGGGTGGGGACTTTGGGGATGGGTTTGGAATGGGGGCAGGGATGGGATGGAGTCGGGGTGGGGGCAGGGGGGCACCGGAGAAAGTTGGCGCCTATGCACCCACCTCACTCAGGCTCTGGCTCAAGCAGGAATGTCTGTACTGTTATTTTTAGGCCTGTAGTGTGAGCCCCACGAGCTCAAGTCAGTTGACCTCGGCTCTGAGACTCACTGCTGGGTTGTTTCGGTGTTCATTTTTTTTTGTTTTTTTTGTTTTTGTTTTTTTTGTAGGGTAGACGTACCCTAAGTAGATTTGTGGATTCCACTCCATGTGTCTGTCAGCTGAGCATGCGATATATCTTAGGTGAAAGACATGCCCCCAGGTGATTGGTTTTCATAGCGAAAATAGTCTCTCAGTCTGTCCCCCAATTTCAAAAGTAAAAATATAGCTCAACACTTTTGCTCTTTTGCTGCATTCAGACTTGAGACTATTGGTCATCTTATTTCAAAGTAACTCTCATAAAACTAGCACAAAAAGTATTGAGACCACTTATACCATAACAGAGATCCCACAATGTTCCTTAGTACATCAGTCTCTTAACTGTTTGTCAGTCATTGGCGCTCATGACTGATGAATATGTTTATTTGAGCTACCTCATTGCCTGAGTTTATCCGGGGGTTGCCATTTTATTCTAAAGGAGACCCTTTGCTGATTAGTTTTAACCTCAGCTACAGCGTGCAATTACATTTTTATAAATTCTATTCTATGATGTAGGGCTAAACACCATATGCGGAAGAGAGTGGCTGATTTGGATCAGGAACGTTGTGTTACAAACAGAGGTCTCTTTGACCTTCCTCCTAGCAACAAAGCTGTTCCTTTGCCCATGTTTTTATTTATTTAAAATTTCCATTGAAAACCCCAGCAACATCACATTGCAAAACAGTATATGCCATAATTATACAACACAAAGGCATAGTCATAGGCGCCAACTCCATGGGTTTTCCGGGGCTGGAGCACCCATGGGGAAAAATGCTCTGCACCCACTGGCAACCAAGCTCTCCTTGTCCCCCCCCCTCCTCACCTCCTCCTCCCTCAGGTGCGCTGCGTCCCCGTTCCTCTGCCTATCTCCCAGTGCTTAGGACTTTCCAGGAGGGAGGGGGGAGGAGCAGGAACGTGGCGCGCTCAGGGGAGGAGGTGGAGCAGGGGCAGGGACTTGGGGAAAGGGGGTGGAATGGGGGCAGGGACTTTGGGGAAGGGGTGGAATGGGGGCGGGGGTGGGGTCGAGCACCCATCAGAAACAGTGGAAGTTGAAGCCTATGGTCATAGTTAGCACAGCGTGAAAAAAAAATAGCTAAGAGCACATGCTGGTGCAGTTTAAGAATCTGAGACCTAGAGCTGGAGAATAGACTGATGCTCAGATTAAGGAATCATGTTGTTCAGATGATATTCAGACCCCCAAATAGAATCATAGAATCAGAGGACTGGAAGAGACCTTGAGAAGTCATCTAGTCCAGTCCCCTGCACTCATGGCAGGACTAAGTATTATCTAGACCGTCCCTGACAGGTGTTTGTATAACTTGCTCTTAAAAATCTCCAATGATGGATATTCCACAACCTCCCTAGGCAATTTATTCCAGTGCTTAACCACCCTGACAGGTAAGCAGTTTTTCATAATGTTCAACTTATACTTGCTGCAATTTAAGCTCATTGCTTCTTGTCCTATCCTCTGAGGGTAAGGAGAACAATTTTTCTCCCTCTTCCTTGTAACTACCTTTTATGTACTTGAAAACCATTATCATGTCTCCTCTCAGTCTTCTCTTCTCCAGACTAAACAAACCCAATGTTTTCAATCTTCCCTCATAGATTTTCTATGTTTTCCAGTCCTTTAATATTTTTGTTGCTCTGCTCTGGACTTGCTCCAGTTTGTCCACATCTTTCCTGAAATGTGGCACCCAGAACTGGATACGATACTCCAGTTGAGACCTAATCAGCGTGGAGTAAAGCAGAAGAATTACTTTTCTTGTCTTGCTTACAATACTCCTGCTAATACAGCCCAGAATGATGTTTGCTTTTTTTGCAAGTGTTACACTGTTGACTCATTTTTAGCTTGTGATCCATTATGATCCCCGGATCCCATTCTGCAGTGCTCCTTCCTAGACAGTCATTTCCCATTTTGTATGTGTGCAACTGATTGTTCCTTCCTAAATGTAGTACTTTGCATTTGTATATCCCCACTTGATATGCCCTTCCAGCGTGACTGTGAACTATTCATAACTTACTCTCTGGCAACAGTTTTCCAAACAGTTAATGCACCCATCTTATAGTAGCTCTATCTGGACATATTACAAAGATTAATATCCTCTGAATACAGTCATCCTTCTTCTGATCTCCAAGTAGGCAGGGGCTAATGGGGAAGAAGATCTCCTAGGTTAGCAGCCCTCCTCTGAACTGTTTGTGAAAAAAGGTGATCCTCTGGCACCAAGCAGTCCTTCCCCTAGTTTCCTCCCAGCAGTGGAGAGGGAAAGAAGGGGATCCCACTCCACTCTTTGCTCAAGGATCCCCTGTGGGAAAACAAGTGTCTATCTATATAGAGTGCACCAGTTACCCCAGTACATGCCAAACAAAGACCCCTGGCTCTTATCCATTGCTCCAAGTAGGGAGGGGATGAAGATGGTAGTGTGCCCCCTACATTTCCCCATGCCTAGGCTTTCTCCCTTCTATCAGGCTCCTCCTTCTCTTACCTGGAATAGTCTTCTAAACAGGATGGGAGAATATGTTGCTGGGCCTCATCACGTTCAGCTCCCCCAGTCTTCTGTCTTCAGGAAAGCTGGCAATGCAACAACGAAACCCAGTACAGAGGAATGATCTCCTAGGAGAGAGGAGGCAGAGATGGGATGGGAAGGAGGAGTTGCTGGCCAAGAGAAGACAAGCTTACATGGGAAGAGGGAGTGTGATGAGGGCACTCACGGACGATTAAGAGAAAAACTTGGTGAGGGGACAGTGAGGATTCCAGGCACAGGGTTTACTCACTGGAGTAACAGCTGCTGGAGGCCCCATGCCAGCTTCAAGCAGGAGGCTAGAGCTTGAGTCTTTCTTCTATACTGACTGCCAGCAGCCCAGTAAGGAGGGAGCTTCAAATATAGTTTGAATGGAAGGGATGTTTTCTATTGGCTGAACTGCTGACTGACAGCCACTCTATCCAGTACAATGCTGGTCTCATTTATAAAAAGGGGATCTTACAAGCCATTTCCCCCCAGCAGCCAGGATGTGATTGACACCCCAGTCACCTTGGACCAGTCTGCCCTTTTTTATACATTGGCTCAAACAAAGGAGTAATTCCTAGGTACCATGGAAGAACTCAGCACAGGAGTAAGAGTCTGATAGCTTTGCATTCTGTGCCTCCAGAGAGTACCCAGGAGCACCTGCTGCTGTGACTGATGGAAGATGGGCTTGGGGTGGGCCTGAGACCAACTTTACTGAGGGTGGATAGGAGCTTAATCTTTCTGTGGGGGAAGCTCATCAAATCATGGTCTTGCCTGGCTTCTTGCCATCACCTCCTCCTGTGTCAACCAATGGGACTGGAGTGCAATTGTTTGCAGGTGCTAAGTGCCGGCAAGCTGATCAAAGGAACAGTCCAATGGCACACCAGGCAGCTCTTCTCAACCACAGTATCTTCTGTCAAACCTCCTGGACATCTAGCAAAGTGCCAAAGAACTTGACTGCATCTCTGAACACATAATTACATACAACAGATGCTATAATCTGTTTGGACCCCCTCCTGCCTCAGCAGCAGCAGTAGTTCATTAAAGTCATGGTCCTAAGCATGGAAGGGAAGAGAAGAATAGGGACTGGCTGGCATTTGTCAAATGATTGTTCTACACAACATATGGTGACTAGGTTTCTAGGATGACTGCACAGCCATTTGGCCCATTAAAGAACAGTCAGCATACCCCTTACTTTCTACTAATGAGCTTGGAGAAGGTCAGGAGCATGAAGGGATTACTTAGGGTATTTCCCAGGCCAATCCTGAATGCAGAATAGACTGTTCCATGGAATAATCCCTTTTTACTGGAAATACTGCAGCTGCTGGTTGTTCCTAAAGACCCACAGTACTTATCCCTGCTAAGAGACAGTAAAGTGGGCCACTACAGTCTGTGTTCTAGGATGAAGTCTCTGCTGCATGAATTCATTTATTTGTCTGGTCTACAGTTGGTTGATGACTGAAGGAACTGACTGAGGCTGAAGTTGGTTTTAGCTAAAAAGTCTAGAAAAAATAACACTTTGGTAATCACAGCGGAATATAATATCAGTGGTTGCCTTTATCTAGGCTAAGCATTCGTCTTCTTTTAGAAAAACCATTGTAGCCTCAAGTAGATGTTTATATAAATCCTCAAGTAGCTGTTTATATAAATAACATACTTCTCTCTCCATTTTATTCTCAAAAAAGCCCTTGCCAATACTCTTGCCCTAAGTAAAGGGCTACTCCTTAAACCTAAAACCTCATGCAAAAAACACAACCACAAAAACCAAACTCTCTCACACACACTCTGGAAAGGCACAAACCCAAATCCTTTCTGTTTAGAGCAAAAGTGTCAACTCGACCAACAAAACGCAGCAGTGAAAATAGACTGACTCACTGTGCACTGGCAAAAATGGAAGTGCTCTTTTTTTGTAAAGAGGAAACAATCAGAGGAATAGCCAGAGGCAATGTCTGCACTATCTATAAGTCACCATATCTGGTTGCAGATCATTATAGATGAGGCTTCTGTTTTTGTAATTAGCTCCCTTTGGCAGCCCATCAGAAGTCAAATCTATTAACTTTCAGGGCATGATTCCAGACATGTTCATTCTATTGATTGTTTTCCTGTTGTTGTTTCTGTTTTTAGTTTTTATTCTGCAAATGGCGTGTCTGATTTGTAATTCTGTACCCAGCTATCATGGTACTAGGTTAGAAAAAAGTAAATAAACAGAGCAGAGTCAAGTATGCCACCGGAAACATCTCTGTGCTAGGTCTAACCCTTCTCTTCTTCCAGAGACGGGGAGCCAGCCTTTCTCCCTGTGTTCTTCAGCAGATTCCCTCCTCCAATTCACAGAGGACTGCTCCCACCAATCAATTTCTGGGGGCAACTTGAAATAAAAGAAGACCTGATATTCTCATGGCATTTCCACCATTCCACTCCTGTTCCCAGGCAGGAATAACATGACAATAGCCTCTCTCTCATGGTATTTCTGCACTTGTGACTCTGGTATGGCTGGATGCAGGAAGTAACCAAAAATTCTCAGAATATTTCAGATAATCAAACACAGGCTTGAAGTAAGTTCAGGTCTGGCAATGATCCAACGACTGAGTTGGGATATATGGGCTAGTCTTAGTCTATCTGCTTCTAGGAGCGACTGGTCTGAGTAAAAAAAAAAAAAAAAAAATCCTTCCAACAGCATCAGACTCGCATCCCATCCAGCTAAATTGGTTAAAATGCTGTGAAAGTTGTTTTGGGTTTCCCCTTGCACTAAAGTCACAATTTGCAGGAGAGAGTCCACTCCAATTCAATGCTTACATCCTAGTCAATCCCAGGAGGCTGGCGTAAGGTGTAAGTTGGCACTGAACTTGTTTTATAACTTCACAGTTGTGAAATGCATCTCTCTGATGGACTCATAATGGCAAGCTTTGACTTTTTCAGCTAGCTGGCAGTGGTGACTTTGCCACATGTTATATTAACGCAAGAAAAGTAATTTCTGTTGGCTAGAATCACATTTCTTCATTACACTAATTGCAACTGGAAAATGTTCTCTGCCTATGCAGCTGTGGGTGTGTGTGTGTGTGTGGTGGGGGGAGGGGCTCCTATCTTTGCCTAAATTCTCTAATTACCACCAGGGCCGGCTCCAGGCACCAGCCGACCAAGCACGTGCTTGGGGCAGCACCTTGGGCCGGGGCAGCGTTAAGG